GGTTCCTCAACCGCCCAGAGCAGCAGCAGACACGGCCAGGTTACTCACCTCCAGCTCCATCTTCCACTTTACCGTTTGAGTCTTCTCTTCTGTGAAGACTGATGCCTGGGACTCCCGTAACTACAGTCCCATCCCCCCTTGGACCAGAACTTGGATGTCTCCTGAGACAGCTGTGTGTCCCCTAGATTTGTATCTCAGCTGCCATTGCACGTAGGAGTGGCAGGATGACCAGACTTGTGGAGAAAACTGAGTGTTGAGGGGCGCTCTCCTGCCAGCTGGGGGTCTCAGCACAAGACCTAACTTGCCCAGGTGGTATGGAGTCACCACCTGGGCAAGCTCCCGTCTGGGGTCAGCCTGTGGGCATGGGGCCCCCACTCCTGCTCAGGAATACAGGCACAGCCCAGGGGCACGGGCGGGTCTATGGAAAACCCGTGCCCCAGGAGGCCCTGTGAGTTCCCCTGGCCCCAAAGCAGCTGGTGGGCGACTAAGGGCTCTGTGACGAGCATGAGGTCTGTAGGGACAAATTCACCCTCACTCAGGTCCGGAGCAGCAGCGACAGGACGAGGCGTCCCTCTGCCCTGGGGTGTGGGAGCTGGGAAGGAGAATCCAGCGCCAGGTTCCAGGGGAGAGGCAGAGCCCCCCCCCCCAGGTCCTCGAGCAGGAGCGGGGCCTGACCTAGTCGTCCACCCACTGGGGACCGTGAGCCTGTACCTGCGGCCGGGGCCTCCTGGACACCGCTACGCTCCCTGCGAGGAGGCAGCCCTGGCAGAGCTGAGATGAAGGAAGCTGCCAGCAAGGCCAGGTGGGACTCGTTGAGCATGAGGATGGTTAGGCCCGCCCCCACCTGCGCAGGTGAAAGCTGAAACCAAGGGAGGCTTTTGGGCATAGAAGAGTACAAGCTTCCCCCAAAGAACTGGAAAGTGCTGTATTTGGGGAGTGTCCTTAAAGGGGAAGGGTACAGTCTCTGTGCCCCCATCCTCCATCAGTTCCCTGAACCTGAGTGTGATGGCTGGGACGAACTTGGGGGACACAGCCCCTGGCTTCGTGGGGTGGCCGCCCCGCCCTGGACCCTGGAGCAGACAGGCTGACCTTGCTAGTTTGAGTTTTCCCAGCTGAACTGAATTGGAACAGCTTTGGCTCCACTGACCCTCCCACATCTCCTTTCTCACTGGCTCCTGCTCCCCCAGCAGCCCCCAGGGCATGGCCCAGCTGATGCCTCCTCTCAGTTCCTTCTTCCACTTTGGTGAATCCTTTAAGTCCCTTGGCTTTAATTACCGGCGCATGGCTCCAAACCTCTGTTCAGCAGGACTGGTAGAATTATGCATCCCATAATCTGCTCACCAAAGTTCACCTGACACAATTGTCAGACAGGCTGGGGCTAAGCGGCCACTTGGAAACTGCTCCTCTCCTCCCCTCCCTCAGAGCTTGCTCTCCAGCTACCCGTCTCAGCAATGGCAGCACCTGGCTGCCCAAGCATACACCTAGGAGTCCGAGGTCTTTACTTGTTGTTCAAAGCCCATCAATATTCCAGATGTCTCCTTGAGCACTCTCCCCTCCCCAGCAGCGGCCCCAAATTACTCCCCTCATCTAGGCCACCAAGGGCGCTCACCTGGCTGACTGGGCTCCCCACCCACTGGCTCAGTCTCTGCATTATCCATGGAGCCCACAGAGTGCAAACTGCGCGCACTATTTTGAAGAAAACAGGAGACCTCGAAGTGATTTCATGCTTGCAACCGGTTCTTTGGTCCACTCCTCCACATTCCCCCTGGAGTTCTAGAACTCTCATTCTTCAGTTACTTCACTGGGAAAGCCAGCAGCACTGACTCTCTTGTAATTAGTTTTAGGTTATCAAAACTTGTGGTACGTAAGTCACAGCAATTTAAATACAGCTGTGACTTCATGCTTCTAAACACTGTGGTCTTCCAGTTTCTTTCAGCGTTAGCACTATTCAGGATTTGTAGGATTTTGTTTACATTAGCTATTAACAGCTGAGAGGCTGTATGCCCTCTGGCCTGCATTTACCCTTTGGGGTAAATTTTGACTGAATTTCCCATGGCTCATTAACAAACTATCCCCCCAATTTCTTGTAGGGCTTTTGCCAGCCCTTCCCCCCCAACCATGGGGCCAAAAGGAAAGTGGGCTAGCCAGAGCCCACGTGACTGAAAGGGAGGTGGGTGGGAGACAGGCTGGGGGTGAGAGGGTGGGTAAGTTTTCAGCCTTCTGAAAACTCACAACAGATTCAAGCAGAAACACAAGCTTCAGTTTTAAATACACAATAGGCTCAGAGTGCCAGGAGCCAACTCACCACGGTATTGGGAACACACAAACTTGCCTCATCTCACTCCCCTAGCAACATGGGATAAAAGCCGAGGTGGCACAGGTGGGAAAATAAAGCCAAGGTCAGACTCTTGCTCCTCCCTCCCCCTTCAGGGCAGCAGGGCAAGGCAAGTCACAAGGGGTGGCCGCTCTCTCCAAGTGCAGTTCAAAGGAGTCATGGTCACCCTGGGCTGGGCACATGCCGGGGAGGCTTTCGAACCCTAACGTGGTGGGAGGAGACTTGCCCTACATGCCCGTTGGCAGGAAGGTGCCAGAGAGCAGGTCACAGCAGGCCAAATGGGCCTTCTGAGCCACCAGAGCTGTGATGGCAGGACTGTGCCATTTTCCTTCGCCACGGCCGGGCGCAGCTCACTGACACCGAGGCGGCTACTGTCCGCGTGCTCAGCAACTTAGCGATTCCCACCTGCAGCAGATGGCTGCCGGTAACCTCCCAGTTTCTCATTTTTCTTTCTTGTAATTCATCAGAACCTGAACTTAGAGTGGAATGCTGGGTCAGGATTCTGAATGGAGTAACACAGAAAGGTGTAGCTGGTTTGAGAAACAACACATTAAAAGGGATAAAGCCTGTTTCCTGAGGGTTTTTTAAACACATTTCTGAAACAACTGGCTCAGAGAGAACACAATGCCGTGGGCTCGGCAGGCAGGCGCTGGGGTGGAGGTCGGGTGATGTAGGGCAGTCCCTGCGATTCCCTGAAAAGCAACCCCTCACCTAAAATGCAGGCCTTGGAGGGTAAGGAACCTGAAGGGAATCAGAAAAGGGGTTGCCTCTAGTGAATGGGGTGGAGACTGCAGAACAGGAGTGATCTGGGATAATGTGATCTTGAGGGGGAGGTTGGGGTGCCAGGGGTTATTTGCTAGGACTTGTGCATTCCATTACTTAAATCTCACCCACTCTCCAAGGGTAAAACATACTAGTTAATAATATGCATATTGTGGCCCTCCCTGGTGGCGCAGCGAGTTAAAGCGCAGCACTGAGAATCTGAAGCCACTTCCGCATGAGTTCGATTCCCGCCTGCCCCGGAGGAGACCACATGGCGAGCCAGACCTCTCCTGGCCCGCCCGCTGCTTCCCTCAGCAGTGTACTTCGTCAATCTGCCTGTTCTGCTCCCCACTCTGTCTCTGGTGAAGCCTCTCACCGCCCCTGAGCCTCTGGCCTGTACCCCAGTTCTGTATGAATAAATAAATAAATCTTTAAAAAAAAATAATAATAATATGCATATTGAAAGGTTTCGTCTACAACTATATTTTGGAATGCATCAAAAATATGATGGATAGAGGAAAGGATAAATTATATAAAAAGCTAACTAGAAAGTATAAAGCGGGAGACATACAATTTTTTCAACTTGCAGGACAGGGTGGACTCCCACTGCCCAGGGCCTGGGGGTGCAGTGTCATTACTTCTAAGTCATAGTTTTTCCCCAAAGCCAAACACAGCCCAAACTCTCCTCAAGACCTTGGCAGAAGAGTGGGGAGCAAGGACGAGAGGCTGCAGGGAGGGAGGGCCACATGCCCTGACGCTGCTCTGCAGCCACACCACCTGCTTCCGCGGGACAGAGGCCCTTCCTCTGGAAACCCACCTCTCCACTGCAGATAATTCGCGAATCAAACCTTCTTGCCCCATTGTCGCTGGAAAAACTCAACCCAGGATAGGGAACCTGACGATCCCAGCCTCAGAGAACAAAGAGAAGATACTGGTGGCCAGGCCTCACTTTCCTTTAAACGCTGACTTCTGAGAAAACGATGATCCAGTCCTGCCATCACCCCTCCTCAGGACGGGCTTCCTGGGTCTGCAGGGAAGGAGCAAATGCACAGCGGTTTCCAGAGAATCAGTTTTACTCAAAGATTGGTGGGAAATTATTTGAAACGATCTCTACGTTGACAGACATGCATCACAGAATGGAACATTCCTATGCTTTCACTAAAATAGGAAACTGTGAGAAGTTTTGCCAAGCCCTCATGAACTATATCCCTAGGCTCTCGGGGGTGTGTTTCACTCACCTGATATTGAAAAAAATTCACTAGGAAATAAGAAAAGCATTTTTGCTGGATGGAAGAAATCATACTGTAGGCAGGTTGCCTATGGGGAGGGGCAATGAAGGATTTCAAGGTTTGCACTGTACAATTTTCCATCTTTCTTCTGGAACAAGAAACAAAAACCTAACAAACATATGTAATTTCTGGGGGATTCCAGAGTGCTGCTGGTGATGGGTCCTACGGCCTCACGGCGGCAGGCACGCCCTGGGGTCCCCATCTAGTCGAAGGGGAGCCCAGCTCTGCCCTGGGCGAGCTCACTCACAGGACCTTCTGGAGCTCGGGTGCAGGCAGTGCTGCCTGCGGCGGCCAGAGCGAGCTTTCCCACCAGAGACCTAAGCCTGACTGCGACACTAAGGCAAGTCAGCCTAGACCCTGTTCCATTTTGTGTCCCCTTCCTTTTACTCAGAGTGTGGAAAACTCTTTAAAACATCAGCAGGGGAGGGAAACGATCGAGGGTGCCTGGGAACCGCGGAACCAGAGACAACCCGGGCTCCGCTTGGGGGTGTGGCCAGGAGGCGCAGGTCTCTCAGCCACCGAGTCTGCCACACGGCAGGGTGGCCCCGGGCTTCAGCCTTCAGACCCGCCACTACACAGGAAGAGAGACCCAGTGCTTAAGACACACAGGCAGGTAAACATTTTGGTTATTTTTAGTTAAAGACAGCTTTTCCCAACGTTGACAAAGTGAACTGAAGGTCAGAAGGAAGCAGGACGTAGGTTTTTCACAAGCTCTTGCTCCAAAACTTAGACATGAGGAAGGGGCCCGCGGGAGCTCAGGGCACCTGGCAGCGAGGGAGAAGTCTGGTGGGGTGGGGGGGGCTGCAGGCCACCCCTGGTCACTGGACTGGCTGAGTGGGCTCTAAGGCGCTCCATGTGCCAGCTGGTGGACATGATTACCACTATCATTCTTGGGGGCATTAAATTAAGGAAAGATGCAAGCAGCCAAGGCAATGGCTTATTCAGTTGGATTCTGAATCACAATCAGGAAATAGTCTTTATCTGCAAAAGAGAAAAATGAAAAACAAATCACAACGGGAGAACAACTAGAAAACAACAAGTGCCCAGAAGATGGGATGGTAAAAACATCAACCTCACCAGGCCACGCCCACGCTGCTGGTCTGTTTCCAGGGTGCTTCCGCCCACACTTTCCAGGGTGACTGCTGGAAAGCGCGGTCCCTCACTGCACACTCTGCCCTCTGCCCGGCAGCGTGTGCTCCCTCCCAGTCTCCCAGTGCCACAGGGAGGGCCGCCAGCCCTGCGTCTGGGTAGGGAAACTCAGGTTTTCAGAGTTCACATGAAGTGCCCACTGCAGTGGCTCTTAGAGGGACTGGAATCACCTGGAGGATGGTTACAAACCAACACTGGTGCACCCCAACTCCAGTGCTCTGGGGTGGAGCCTGAGAACTAGTATTTTTAACAAGGCTCCAGGTTCTGTGAGAACAGCTGCTAGTTTAAGGCTGCTCAGAGCTAGTTAAGAGTCAAAGCTTGCAGAATGCCAACCTCAACCCTGGTCGTCTTGGGCTAATGTCAATTCTGTCAGAGGCTTAGCTGCTGGCCTTCCAGAAATTTCTAGATGAGAAAATTTAAAAAGTACCAAGTCAAAGACAGTGAAAACTACCTGGATTCCAACCTAGTAAGACGGAGTGTCCACCAAGAAATCACAGCAAGTGGAAGTCCTTAGGAGTAAGCCTGACTACCCCTCATTTTATAGAAGAGGAAGCTGGAGAAACAGGGTGTCTCAATTTTGCCCACTTAATAATCAAACCACAAACATTTACCAAGTTTGCCATTGCGTGGTTCTGGGCTAACCACTTCTCACGTGGCTTCTCAATGAACCCTTCAGTTACTTTATGTGGCAAGTTCTAATGCTTTCTCACTTTATTTTTTAATTAAAAAAAAAAAGATTTATTTATGCATACAGAACTGGGGTACAGGCCAGAGGTGCAGGGGCAGTGAGGGTTCACCCGAGACAGATTGGGGAACAGAACAGGCAGGCTGACAAAGTAAACTGCTGAGGGGAGCAGCAGGCAAGACAAGAGAGGTCTGCAGTGCCATGTGGGTCAGCTCCCTGGCAGGGATCAAACTTGTGCTGAAGTGGCTGTGGCTAGCTTCGTTAGTGTTGTGCTTTAACTCACTGTGCCCTTTTCACTGTATTAATGAAAACATTGAGGCTTAGAGAATTAAATGAGTTGTTCCAAGTCAAGGCAAAATCTTGAGGGGGTGGGTAGCTGGGTCTGACTCAATGCTGAGAACAGGAGAGAAGTGGCAGGATCTCGGCCACGTCTGTTTGTCATGATGAGGGGTTGTTGCATCTGGGGAAGATGACTCAGATTCATGGTTAGCCAATCTGCATAAGTAAAAAATCACTAATAATAAAAACAGAATTAACAGTCACTAATGCAAACAGACACCATTAGTGACACTTGTTTTCTTCCAAACAATCAAGCCCTGAATCATTAATACCACTTCATGTGGTTCTTCACATGGGTAGTTGTAGCCCTAGGCCAAGACGGGGTGAAACTGGTATTTACATGGGGCAGCCAACCACCAGAAGCCAAACACTTTTTTTGACTCGGGAAGCAGCTTCTCAGTTTGATCAACAAAAACATTACGTGGGAGGAAAGGGACACTGGACCGCGGGCGACTCCAGGCTGCTGCCACAGTGTGGGGCGCTCATTTTAGTCCCAGAAGCTCCACCTCAAGATACAGAGCATCAGGCCTGTTCTCTGCTGAGTGCTGACCGTAGGGGGCTGGGATCTGGAAACCCTAAGGCAATCCACCCCCAATGCCTCAGAGTTCTGGTCGGTGGCTCCTGCCTCAGGAGTTCTAGCACCAAGACCCACTATTTCCCCGTGTGAAATCCCTAGTTTCATCCTAAACACCACGTTTCAGACATCACTGACCGACCACTGCACTGATACCTCACGGTGGAGTGTCAGCATGGAGGGAGACTTAGGGAATCGTGCACTTATTTATTCAACAAATACTCGTCAAATGTTTACTACGTGCTTTCGAGTCTGTCCTCTTGGACTATCTACTGAGGAGACATTTAAAAATGCAGGTAAGCAGCCTGGTTAGCCAAGTGTTTTTTCTCCAACTTCTTGGGAAGTAATGGGGGCGTCCGGAAGGGAGTACATCAGCAGGGGCTGTGTGAGGCCCAGGGAGAGAAGCTGGAAGCTCCTGAGGCTCTGAGAGGCAGCTGGGAGGCTGGAGAAGCAGTGGGGGTGTGCGGAAGGAGCACTCGCTGTGTCAGGGCCACCCCGAGAAGCCACGCTCCCGGCACCAGATGCGTGCACCGCCTTGAGAGCAGGCGAGCCGGCAGCCCCGCCGCCTCCGTGCACTGCCCAGAGCAGAGCACTTCATCCTCCACTGTTGCAGCTGAGGAGCTTCTGGCTGTGAGCCCCGAGGAGCCCCTCTCCTTTGCAGGTGCCAACCTCAGACTCAAGTGCCAATTGTACCCATGGCCCCAGGGGAGCTGGGAGATGCTACAGAGCTGAGACATGGATGGCCAGGAGCTTTCACACAACTCTGCTGCTGCAGAGCAGAAATTCTTGGAAACTTAAAAAAAAATTTTTTTTTATAATGTAAAAGGCCAGGTTTATTAGGAAAAGGAGAAAGAAAAAAAGGAACACCTGCATAGACACAGGTGGGCAGAGAGCTGCTGCTGCTTTGCATAGGGAATGAAAGGAATGACGACAGTCACAGGAAGGCAGGAAAGCGGCCGGTCCTCAGCACCTTTAAGCCAAGAAACACTCTCCAAGGAGAGTCTGATTTGAAGACCATGACTAGTCCTGGCCTCACACTGTGAGCTACCCTGACCTGGAGGGTCAGTACAGCCAGCACTCCCAGTCCACTGTGTAAGGGGTGCTGGCTTGTCCGTACTCACCAGCATAAAGTGCCGGGAGGCATCTGAGTTCCGATCTGATTGCAAGCCTTTCTGCCTCAACCTATGCCTAGTCAGCCAGATGCAGTCACGGCTACCCTCAAAGTCCAAGTCTGGTCAGTCCCCTACTTAACACTTTAAAGATGTGGAGACAGGGCCCTCCCTGGTGGCGCAGCGGGTTAAAGCACAGCACTGAGAAGCTAAAGCCACTTCTGCATGAGTTGATTCCCGCCTGCCCCGGAGGAGTCCACATGGCGCGGCAGACCTCTCCTGACCCGCCCGCTGCTCCCCTCAGCAGTGTACTTCGTAGATCTGCCTGTTCTGCTTCCCACTCTGTCTCTGGTGAATTCTCTCACCCTCCACATCTCTGGCCTGTACCCCAGTTCTGTATGAATAAATAAATCTTTAAAAAAAAAAAAAAAGATGTGGAGACAGGGTCACAGGCTCTTCACCTGTTTAAGGTCACATGCATTAAGATTGAAGCTGGGAAAACAGATTCTGTGCTTGATGTAATTTGCCGTGACAGAACAGCGCCTTCATCATTAGGGCTGTGGTGCATCAAGCAGTGCTGACACTGATCAACAGTGGATGATGGCATGCTTTTGGAATCTCAAGTTATCCATGTCACCACATCTGAAGGTCTTAAAGGGCACCTGCGACTAGCTTAATGATTCTCTCCTTCACATCTTTCACATCCTTTCAGGGAGCTAGATCAGGCTGGAGCAGCCTGGGAATAAAACACCATTATTTTGCTGTTGGGAGTAGCTGCCCTTAAATCACCTCAGAGTTCTGCAGCCGGCCTCTTGCCATCTGCCTCGCCAAGCCAGGGGCATTCAGTATCCCCAGCCTCTCCACTGTCCTCCTTCATCCAGACATGACAACTATTATCACCTTCTGCCTTAAAAACTGCTCCCAGGGTCACGTTTACACAGCTGGGTTTGATGTCTGAAGTCCCTTCTAAGTTAGCCCAACGTCTCACTGCCCGCTCCATCCTGCATATATTCTGACGCTGCAGACAGCTGCACCTGCACGATCACATACACACCTAACTCATGCTCACTGTACCGGGCAGCTCAGCCAAAAAGGAGAGAGGGAGAGAGAAGCAGCAGTGCGAAAATAATCCTGGGGAACTCCTTCCGGTGAGTGTGACGTGAGGCAGACAGGACAGTGGCCTCACATAGCCTCAGTCCTTGTGGGGTCCTCCCAGGGTAAGCATTTCATCACCCTGAGAATGACCCTAGTATTTAAGGACAGATAATGTTTGTACCCACAGCCCCAAATGCATGCTAGGCAGGTCACATGAAACAAAACAGCAATCTGCTCTAAGGCTGGAGGAGCAGCAGGCTGCAGAGGGCCCAGAGACAGGACTACACGTTACAGGTGGGCAGTGGGACACTTTCGAGGCTGAATGTCTTTTCAGCTTTCTGCACTGACTGAGAACGTAGATCCTTTTTTACTTCACACGTAGCTGCCCTGCCCCTCCACCTTGCTTGCACTTTCCTGGGCTCTTAGGTTCCGCTCAAATGTCCTCTCTTCTCGGAAGCCTTTGCTGACTGCCCCAAGCACAATCACCCCCTTCTCTGTGTTCCTGATGCTTCTTGAATTTCTCCTCTTCAGTGTGAGGATTACACATTCTGTGTCATACTTTAGGTGGCTAACTTCCTGATTTCCCTCTGTCGCCTAGAAACTAGGGCAGGGCTAGGCAGAGAGGCAATTTTCTGTACCTTCATCTCTTTAAGCCATTTTGTGGAACCTGTGAAAACAGTAATGCGCTAGGTCTTCCTGATAAGCCAGTGTATGCGCGGCAAGGGTGAACGCGAAGTGGGGATGTAGAAGGCCTCTTACCAGGTGCAACCATAATTTCATTTTTCTTGGAGCGAATTCGAAGGAAGGTGAGGTCATTCTGGGGGTCAATTTCACGCACAGTGCCCCGAGCCTTCAGGATGAAGTTGTGCATCAGGTTGGCATACTGTGTGGTAGTGGAATTATCCATGGTGCTCTTGATAGGAATGCCTGGGGGGCAGGGGGGGAGGAGAAGAGAGAAACCAAAAAGGTTATTGGAGCTCCCTACTCCACACCCCAAATCTGTAATACTGGTCTGACTGTGCTTGGGTGGTAGTTAACAACCAATGCCACTGTTTACTGACGGCTTGCTAGGTGATGAGCACTATGTTGAACACTTCAAGCATGTTGGCATTAGTGTACAGGCTTACTCTGAGGCAGTCATCACATTTATGTACAAACAAGGTAACACAAACTGAGCGGTCAGCACATGCAGGCTTCAAAGGCGAGGCCTGCTGGCTCCCCTGCTGGGTTCTTCTCCCAGGGCTGCACTGTCTCCACTGGTTTCCAGCAAGAAAAGGCAACTGTCATTCACAGTAATTAGAACCTGAATGATGACAGTACTTGCAAATTTATAAACATTGACAAGTAGGAAAAAGAAGGTTAGCTTGCACCTGGATGTAACTATTCCTCGGCTCCCACCACAAGAGGCTTAGGGCCCATTATAACCACACCAGTCGATATGTCACACTCTCAAAACTGACGCCTATTTCTCTGACTGCAAGTACCTTTGTAAAAAGCATTGCTACTGCTTTCAAAGAGCCCAGTAAGTTGCCATTCCTCAGAATTAATCATTTTCTTATTCTTGAGCATTTTGGCCATGTTTTTAACTTAGTTTACTGTGTAATGAACAGTACTGCACATCAAGTCTTTTGTTTTGAGAGCTGTTTCCTTGCAATGAACTATTAAATGCACTCCCTCACTAGACAGTTTCAGAGGTGAAGAATGGGGCGCATTGTGACCCACTTCTGGCCACAACTGTGTCACCAGGAACCTGTGAATCACTGTGACTAGAAGGCAGAAGCCTTTATCAATGAGGGCCCAAAAGCCCTTACTGACAGCACAAGTGGCTTCTCATATATCTGTGGCTGGATCTGTGGGCTAATTTGGCCCACAACTGATTAGTTTAGGGATGAGCCAAAAACAGTTACTCCCAGATCTACGCAAGAAACTGGCTCAACCATGTCTTCTTAGGGCACAGGAACACAAGCGTGTAGAAGAGGACAGTCTAGGAAAAAAAAAAAAACTGAGCAAGAAAGGCTGTTTTGAGTCACATCACTACAACCAGTTACAGTGACCACTTGCCTTTAAGGGACAAGAAAACCAGGTTTAAAGGGCTGCTGTTTAATCCTGGCTGCCAAGAATGTGCCCACCAGGGCCCCAGAGGTCTTGCTGGATAGTGGAACCTTCCTGAAGATGTAGTATGTGCAGATGGGTGGTAGTTGACTAGAAACTCTGAAATCTAATGCCCTGGGCTTACAACAGACTGTCTCCCATCACAGCTATGTGACCCTTAGGCTAGTGATTTAACCTTTCTAAGACTCCACTTCCTCACCTGTAAAATAATGCCTGTGCTTCACAATGCTGTTGTGAGGATTAAGTATGGCTTAATTCATTTAAGAATGTTTATAGCAAGAGTGCTCACTGTGTTGGTTATCAACATCATTGGTACAATAAATCCCACTCTCAGCCCCATGTGTGTAGCAGAGGCTCAAGGTACAACGGTGACATGAGGGGGCCAGTCTCACGGCCTGACAGAGTATGGGTGAGTCAACCTCTTTACCTCTTTTTATACCATCAGCCACTTCTATCAGGTCCCTCTGTCTGGAACTGCCCTTCCTCCCCCTATTCTCTCATGACTGCCACTAATTCCCATCTTCCAATGGCGCTAGCCCTCCTCCCCCAATGTGGCGAGTGCTCCCCTCTACCATGCCATAACATTCAGTGTCTTTGATCAGCGACTTGAGATTGGCATCACATCTTTTTGAAAGTGATCATGTTGTTCCCAAAACAATGAGAGCTCCCTGAAGGCCAGGCTGAGTCTGATATGCTCACCACTGTCCTCAACAAAGACTATGTTTAGCATTTATTACTGTTGATAAATGAACAGTCACAAAATCTACTTTCAGTAGTTCAGACAAATATCATTAGTCTAATCACATTTCTACTAAGTAAGAGTTTGTGTAAAGGAAAACAAGAAACTAACCACTTGCTTGTTCACTCTAAAACCAAAAGAAACATGGAGTTGGCAGGGCAGGGACCCAAACTGGGGGGACTTTCAAATAAGAACAACAGATGAATTCTAGAGTCACAGGATGCTGCGCTGGGGACACCCCGAAGCTGGTCAGTTAGGTGACCTACTCTAAGCCTCTGCCTTCTCAAGTGGGCACTCTGCATCCTACAGCAGCTGCTGGTCGCCAGGGAGGCGTGATTCTCAACGGGTCTCAGAGCAGGTATGCAGGTCTTCCCACCCCACCCAGCAATCAACATGAAAAAAGTTAACAAAAATCAATGGATGTTTTATTAATGCACCAAATGTTCTAGGCGCTACGGGTACAGCAGTAAACACACGAGACAACTCCCTGCCCTCAGAGCTCACACAAATGGAATGGAATGTTCCTTACGCTGATTGGACACATACTTTTTTTTTTTTTTTTTTAAAGATTTATTTATGCAACAAGAGGTGGGGTATAAGTGTGGGGGGGAAGTGAGAGGATTCACCAGAGACAGAGTGGGGGACAGAACAGGTGGACCTACTGAAATAACTGCTGAAGGGAGCAGCGGAAAAGGTCTGCCGCACCATGTGGGTCAGCTCCCTGGCAGGGGATATGCTGCAGTGGCTGGTAACAGCTTGACAGCACTGTATCTTTAACCCTTGCGCCACCAGCAAGGCCCTACGAAACAAGACTTATAATCACAATGTACATACATGAGGGCGCTCAGAAGTCCTGGTCACATCAAGACTGAGGAGAGAAAAAATAGAGAACTGGCAGAATCAAGCTGGATGACCCTGGGCATGGCCTGGGCTAGACAGCATCCCTCTCTCTGGTCCTCCACAGAGTAGGCGAAAGTGCACAACTGGACTTAGGCAGACCTGGAATAAATCTTGGCTCCGTAACAGCAGGTTTTTAATTTCTGCATTCAGTTGCCACCACCACTTAGACCAGACAACAGGGCTGCTCTAAGGATCAAATATAATGATATGTTTGTAAAGCATAAGCCCTGTGGCCTGCACGAATACACATATGAGAAATGTCAGTTCCCTTTTTACCATATCTAGGGCATTTTGGAAAATTTATTATCTGAACGTTTCAAGCTGCTGAAGTAACTTCTTTGCCCCCAGAAGAGGAAGGAAAAGTTAAAAGCACAAAGCACTTCATATTACCTAGCAAAAAAGTGCAAAACAACTTAAATGGAGTATGGTCAATAAACACTATAGTGGCAGTTAAAAAAATTTGCTTATGTAAATCATGGAGCAATACAAAAAATTGTGAATGAACACATGCAAAAGATTAACAAGTATAATTATGTCCAAGAGAAAATACGCCTGGATAAGTGCTGAAAAGGAATGGAATACTGAAAAACAAGATTGTTAGGGCAGCGGGACTAACTCCTTAGGAGTGCTAGAACACGGAGGCTGCTAAACAAGCTGGAATTAGATGACGCACTGAAGGCCTCTGCGCTGTGTATAGGCTGTCTTCTGGGGCCTCCTTGTGTACAGGTCAAGGGAGTGAGTACCTTCTGTGTTCACCACGATGATGCCCTGCACTCCCTTCTGGCTCTGAAGTCGTTTCAGCGTCTCCTCTACCTCTGCCTGCCAGAGAGAACAAGACCAAGGTTAGGAGGGGTCAGGTAGGTTGGATTAATGACTCCATACCCCTGGCAGATGAATCGCATATTGAAGACAACAAACAGGTAACACCCAGGTACTTGGCACCTCCTCAAAGCTCCCCAGGCCTGTCTGGTATGGTCCTCAGGCCATGGGCAGCACCTGAATCATCTGCTCACCTCTCCAGCGTGGGGCTGCTCCTGGCCCTTTGCCCATCAGGCACTACTGCTGCCCTGACCCCACCCCCTAGCTATAGGCAGCAGAGTATAAATTCCATTCCCACGAGGGGCCACGCAGATGGTACAACTCGGGTATAGGACTTAGGTGTTTTGAAAAACCCAACACTGATGTCTAACAGGAAGGAGAGACACATTATCACTGGTTGCCCCAAGAGTACAACTAAAAACATTCCAAAGGAAGCAAAATGACCCTATGAGGACAGACTCACTGACGTAATAGGATGGCATCTGGGACAATGCACACATGGCACACGAACACAGGAAATGTGCCACTAATGCTGACTGTCCAGAAACCAGTTGGTGGGTGGGATACTCTGGTGCACAGAATTTGTAAACAGAGGACAGACAGCAGGGTCCTCACCCCGCCGGGCAAGGTCTTCTGTATTATCGCTCCCACTGCTTTGACCCTTCCCTCCCTGTTTCACTTAACATTATTATATGTTATGAACCTTCCCCCCCCCCCCCACAGGACCAAACCTCCTGGTCACATCTTTTAGCCAAACATGGCCCCTCCTCTACTGAAATCCAACAAACTCTTTTATCACGCAGGGAGGTCTTTACCTACTTCTGACACCCCAAACTCCTCTCTTTGGGGAATGTAGTATGTACTATTTTCTACAATGAGCTGCAGAGTAGGGGCTCAGTAAACGGCTCCTTAACCAAACAAAGCCTAACACCTCCTAGGAATGAGCAAAGAGTGGCCTCCGAGTGCCCTTGCTCCAGACTGGCCAGATGCAGTCAGCTTCTCTGAGCCAGACTGTGTTGAAAACAGGCTCCCTTCACTAAAAATGAGTTGTTTCCTACCCCCAGGGGCTAACAAGTTGGGGGAGGGAGATCTTAAACACTGGATGGAGATAGCACAGTGAGTTATTATTTTTCTAGTAGGCACAAGACTGATAATCTAGTCACCACCACCCATTCCCCAATGATGTTAAGAATATTCTCAACTGCTGCAGAAAGACAAACAAGTCCTCTGACAAAAAGGCACAAAGCCTGGTACTTGTAAAGTCTGAAGCCTGGGTAAAAGGACAAAGCTAAGCCAGTGGACATAAGTACAAGTCAGTGGGTCATGCATATAGGAAAACACAAGTCTGCAACAGATTTATTAATTTCTATTGAGTACCTACTATGTGCTACTCTGGAGAGGAGGGGCAGTCACCAGAGACAGAGTGGGGAGCAGAACAGGCAGACTGACAAAGCACACCGCTGAGGGGAGCAGCCGGTGAGACAGGAGCAGTCTGCTGCGCCAAGTGGGTCAGCTCCCTGGCTGGGGATTGAACTCGTGCTGCAGCTGTGGCTAGCTTGTGTGCTGCACTTTAACCTGTTGCACCACTAGGGAGAGCCAGGTTCCTCATTTTACAAAAAAAAAGCTGATGTTCAGAAAAGAAAAGAGTTGAATATACCAGTGACCAAAACTGCCAAGTTCCCTGCCTTTAGGGAGCTCATGTTCTGCTAGAAGACACCTTCAAAACACAAGTGATCAAAGTTTCTTTCATGGTACAGAGAGGGCTGGGGGACGGGGAGAGGCTATGGGGTAGCAGGGTGATGTAAATTTCAAGCCAAGAACCAAATGATAGAAAAGCCAAACACTCCAGGCAACAGGGTAAAAGCAAAGGCTGTGAAGTGGGAAAGCGTGGCTGTTCAGGAAAAGGACAATGACCCTTATTTCCAAGTTTTTTGTTTCTTTGTTAATCTGATAGGCAAAAAATCAATTTCAATAGCAGAAAATCAATTTTTCTTTAAATTTTGAGCATTATCAGTGAAGCTGAAATCTAACTTATTGACCACACTCTTGAGTCTTTTGTTTTTTCTGTATTATTGAGTTTTTAAAAAATCTTGGATGTTAGAAATCTTTTGTCATATAAACTGAACTCCTACTTCCCTCAGTCTTTTCTTTTTTGATTAGTATTTTTATGTAGTCAAATTTAGTAACACTTTTCCTGTCAGACTAGAGAATAACTTCCCGAACCAGCAGAGGGCTGGAGGGATGGCTAGGCCTGGGTGAAAATGGGGTAGCATGTGGACTGGAGGGGTCTCCAGGAAAGAGCAGGGGCCAGCAGTTACCTCTCTGGGTCTAGGACAAACTGCTGAAAATAAATCTCTAGCTCAGCCCTAAAGGAGCCAACAAAGGAAAACAAAAGTTGCCAAAAAAAAAAAAAAAAAAAAAAACAAATCAGCAACAAGATGGAGAACAGCAGACGAGAAAGGCCGATATACAGGCATCTAAGTCAGTCAGTTCTGCCTCCTCCAGGCTTGTCATCCCGACAGTGCCCAGGAAGAGCTACCAGAAGTATCTGAGTGGTTACGCAGC